GCATTTCAAGCCTAGGGAGCAGCTTGTATAAAGTCGTAGAAGGCAGAAGACAGAATGTTGAGTATGAGGGAATGGCAAGTAAGCCAGACTGGACAGAGCACAGAGTGCATGTCAGACTGGAAAAGGAGGTTTGAGACAGATGGTGAAAGGTTTTGAATGACAGAACTTTATCTGAAAGGGAATGAGGCATCACCGAAGCTTCTGTGAAACTTCTTGATATGGTTGGACCTATGTTTTAGGAATATTACTTTTGGCAGCTTTGTGAAGGATGGATTGGGATGGGAAAAGACAAGATATAGGGAAACCAGTTAGGCTATTGAAGTAGTCCATGTATGAGAGGATAGTGGTCTGACCTAGGACATTTTGAGTGTGACTAGAGAGAAAGGATAGGTGGGAGACATCATGAGAAGGTGGCATCATTAGGAGCTAACAACTAATTAGATATTGGAGATGAGTATGAATGAAGTTGATGATGGTTTCTAGGTTGCAAACGTAGGTGACCATAAGAATGGTGGTGCTCTTGAGAGAAATAACGAAGTTAAAGAGATGTTTGGATGGTTTTAGGGGAAAAAACAATGAGTTCTGGTTTGAACACGTTGAGTTTGATATTTTTGTGGGACATCAAATTGGAAAAGAAGTGTAGCAGGGAAGTGGGTATGCAGGACTGTAGCCCAGGAGAGAGATGAGCACTAGATATAGATTTAACAGTCATTGGTACAGAGATGTTAGTTGAGTCCATTGGTCATTTTGGAGTTACTAAGAGGTAGTACAGAGAGAGAAGAAAGGACTGAGAACAGAACTCTAGAGAACAGCTTCATATAGGAGGACAGGATATGAATGATGAACCTACAAAGGAGACCAAAAGAAGTTTTGGAATAGCTTCCATGGATGGGCAGGGAGATAGTGTCAATCAGCAAGGAGTAAAAACATTGGCAGTATAGCAGTGATGGCCAAGTTGAGATTGGAGATAGCATGAATTTTTAACAGACCTTTGTCAGCATAGTTGTGTGACTTTCTCCAGTAGAATTTATCAGTAAATAAGAGTGAAGAAGGTGGATGGGTGGAGTAAGTCAGTATTGGGTCTGGAAGCATGTAAGTGATTGATGGACAATGGTATAAAGAATTTAAGGGTTTGGTCAACTATCACCCCCATTTCATTCATCTAATCTATTTTTGTATGGTTTCTAGTTACCATCTTGGTTCTCTTCTTTTGGACATACTGTAATTTCTCAGCATACCTTCTAAAATATGAAATGTAAAGCTAATATTTGAGAAGTGGCCTGATCAGGAGTGGGAAATCTCTTGTATCCCTTGTTTTGGACACATATATCTATTAATGAAACCAAAGGTTGTATTAATGTTTTTAGGAACTGTTATCTGTGCTTTTGCTCATGATTCTCTTCTGGAAATACCTTCCTCTTGTCCATCTGCCTTTCTAAAATCTTGGGCACTGTTGGCTACATTTTTTCTTTTGGATACCCTTTTCTCTTTAGGTTTTTGTGACACTGCTTTCACCTGTTTCTACTCTTACCTTTGTGACTACTTCTTTTTAGTCTCCTTTGCTAAATCTTCCAGGTCTTGCCCACTAGCCAAGGATGTTGCCTAAGGCTCTTTCCTCAGCAGTCTCTTCTTCCTCTATGCCAAGAAAGGTTTCATGTCCAGCATGAATGCACCAGAAGCTGTGCAAGATGAAAAAATAGGAGCCAACTGGCAGCTCTACTTCTCAGATTCCAGAGCTAGGTATTAGATTAAGGGAAGCCTGAAAAGATGACCTACACCTAGTGGTGGTCCTAAGCTAGTGTGCTGGGCAAGAAGCAGGAACACAAGGTAGGACAACTATGACACTGACTTTGGATTTGAAGTTAAAGTCTCCCTTTCAACTCTCAATGGGATCTAAAGCTTAATGTTGAATAACCAGGCTAAGAGCTTAGACCAAGAGGAAACTTGCTTTTCTGTCTCTCTGAACCATTGGAACCTACCAACTACCTTCAGTTGGCCGGGGGCTAGCAATGATTTACTATAGGATCTAACCAGGGCAGTTGTATTGCAAGACTCATAGATAGGTTAGGAGTTTACAAAGCTCTAGGAGGTCAACGATCAGATTTCATCCTTAATCAGGCAGCATCAGGCACACTGAAACTTTGCAGGTCCACAACCTGAGCCACTCCTGAGATCCTTGAACAGCATAGTACCCCATACCCAGGGGAAAATTCATGGCAAAAGATAAAGCAAGACCAACCAAGGCCCAGAGATATGTTAGCCTGGCCATTACACAGAGTCCCAGTTTAGGAAGTAAGACAGAATGAATGAGTAAACAAAAAAAGAATCTCACCATAAAGAGTCATGGAGGGACATCCAAGACATAAAACCAGAAAAAGAGAATGATTCCAAAACATGTACAAGCAAAGCATTAAAGAAAAGTACAACTTAGTTTAAAAAGTTTAGCTAGAATTCTTAGAAGAAAGTAAACAAAAGTTAAAAAAGGATTTCATTAATAAGATGAGACTACTAGAGTAAAGAACTGGGGAAGCATTAATGATAAAGGAAACACCTGGAAGGAGAATTAACAGTTTAGCCTAAGAGGTACAAAAATGTACCTAAGCAGCATGCTCCTTGAAAATTAGAATGGACCAAATGAAAATTAATGTCTGTGGGAGAAAACAAGAAATATTAAGACAAATCAAGACATTGTAAAAAATTCGAATGTATTGATAAAAGTGAGATAGAAAATGCAACAGTGTTGGGTGAAGATAAATATTGCACTTAATGGAGGAGCAAAGTGGAACAGGAAGCGGGGACTAAGAGGGTAGATTGACGGAGGGATTAGTGTAAGTCCAACAAGCAAATATGAAAAGGTGGATCACAAATAAGGATTTAAAAGGAAAGAAAAGGTGAAAGCCTATAACTGGGATCTGGGTGAGGAAAGAGATGAGAGCAGAACTCGTTTGTATCAACATCTCTGCACTGATGTTGTGCAAATTTTTTGCTCAGTATCCTCTTCTTTGTAAACAAGAGTGGCAATCAAAGAAAGTCAGAAATAAACCAATCTGACTAAAATGCAAAGGAAGACAGGTAACTGGGGAAAATATTCATATCAAACTTCTCTAATCAGAGCCTCATTCCCTATATATGTAAAGAGTAAATTAAGATTTGGAGCCATTCCCTAATCAATAAATTGTCAAGGAATACAAAAGGAAGGCTTTAAAGGAAGAAATCCAAGCTAACAATAATATGAAACAAATTTTTTCAGATCACTAATAATTAGAGAAATAAAGCAACTCTGAGGTTCCACCTCATACCCATAAAATTGGCAGAATTTATGAAAAAGGAAAATGATAAATGTTGAAGGGGCTATAAGAAAACAGTCACATCAGTGAATTCTTGGTGAAGCTGTAAATTGGTCTGTCCACTCTGGAAAACGATTTGGAACTATGCCTGAAAATTTCCTAAACTATGCATACCCTTTGACTAGTAGTATCAGTAGTAGGCTTATTTACTCAAGAGATGAAAGAAAGGAAGATATCACAGCACTGGAATTTGAGGGAGTATCCACCAATTAGTGAGTTGGTGAACAAATTATTAATATATTATTATGCTGTTAGAAATAATGAAAGGAACAATTTCAGAGAGAACTAGAGAATATTTGCTGGAACTAATGCAGTTAAGAGAGCAGTGCCCAGAGAACAAATTTATACAATAGCTGCAACATTATAAAGACAAAGAACTGTGATCAGTGCCATGATGAACAAATATTCATGATGAAGCATGCTACCCACCTCCTGAAAGAGAGGTGAAAGACTTAACAGGCCCAGTGCAGGAATTTATTTTGCTTGATTGTGTATATTTAATATAACACTTTTGTTTTTCTTTTTTTCCTTCCAATGGGGAAGAAGTGGGAAAGAGAGAGAAAATGTTTGTTAACTTAGAACAATTTAATTTTCAAAGACAGTAGTTCTCAAAATTTTATCTTGCTTTGAATGGTTGCCAATCAAGAATAATTATGTCATAGTTTTTTGAGGAGCTGTTTTGTTATTCTTATGATGGGTGATTAGGAGGCAGAATTGTGCAGAAAGTGATAATCTTTCTACATGTGTAAAAATAACTTGCCCAAAACATTTGACCCTCTTTAGTTTTAACTATCTTAACTTAAAATAGCAATTTGCTTTTACTTTTTTGCTTTTCTTTTTTCAATGCAACACATTTATTAATCTACAATGTCCTGGGTGTGGGGAAACAGAGTAAAAAGAAAAAAGTCTTTACCTTTGCCAAAGAAAGTGTTTTTTTTATACCTTTAAAGCTAATTTCAGCAAGTACATTTTGATAAAATATGTTCATTGTTAGTATTTAGTTGGAATGAACAAATTGGGTTTATTACTTTTTTTAACTGTGGGTATGTCAACAATGCATTTTTACATATATTCTAATTTTCTGTGGCTTTATAGATTATATTAATTCATCGTATTTTGCTAGATTTTAACTTCCATAATCATAAAATTCCAAGTTTATGTGCAAAAATTAAAAAGCAACTCTTGGAAGACATTCAAGTGATGGTTCTGTCATTTTTTTTTCTGTTACCTTGGGTAGATACATACAACCTTGCTAGGCTTTGGTTTGCATTCGTAAAAAATGAAGGAATGACACCAAATATCTAAGTTTCCATTTACCTCTAGATCAGTGATCCCACTGAACGTAAAAAAAATAAATAAATAAACCAGTCATAGAATTGACTTTACATTGAAAAGACAACCATGTTGACCATTTGTATTTTCTTTTTTGTTGTTAGGACCCTCTAAAGGAAGAGTAAATAACTGAAAAATAGCTTATATTGAAGATAAAGATAGCATTCAATAGGTTTTTAAAGTAATGTGAAAATAAACTTTAAATGACAAAGGGATCACTGAAATAAAGCAAAACCTTTGTTGCAGTGAAGCTGACAGATTGATTTAGTTATTTGTACTGGAAAATCTTAAATGTCTTTTAACTCTTGTGCTTAACCTCAGGTCAACTGATAGTCAGCTGAAATTGTGGAATGTAGGGAAACCACACTGTTTGCGTTCCTTCAAGGGCCATATCAATGAAAAGAATTTCGTTGGATTGGCTTCCAATGGAGACTACATAGCCTGTGGTAAGTCACAGTTAAAGTAGTATGGTGAAATAGAATGAGGGAGCAGATTTGGAAATCAACATCCCTGAGCTTGAGTCCTGACTCATTTTTGTAACTCATGGGGTTTGGACAAGTCACTTTTCCTTTGGCCTCAGTTTTTGTCGTCTTTAAAATGAGGAGGTTGAATTAGAACATGCTTATGTTCCCTTTTTGTTGTAAATCTGTGATCCTGTGACAACCTTTTCTTTGGTGCTGTTCAGCATCTGTTTCTGTCTTACAAATTGGCTGCTAAGGATATCTTCTATGAACATTTATATATCTGTCTATCATCTATCTAGTTTTATCTTTTATATCTGTCTCAATCATCTGTCCCTGTCTAATCTCCATACATCTATAGATACATGTAATTATATGTGCGTGCATACACACACACACACACACACACACACACACACACAAATATACACACATAGAGATATATATGTTCAGAAGGTAGCATTATGGACCAGATTTTATTTCTTTGGTATTTTCTCCTCCACCTAGTATAATACTTTATAGTTATCTTTAGGAATCATCTTAAGTACATGTTATGAATATATTCCTTGGTTTTTGTTTTTGTTTTTGTTTTAGGCAGTTGGGATTAAGTGACTTGCCCAGGGTCACACAGCTTGTAAGTGTCAAGGTTCATTTTCAGATAT